TTTATTTATAGTTTTTTCGTAACTAGCCGTTGCCCCCCCTCCCGGTTAAATGTCAGTAAATAAATGATTTATTTATTAATGAAACAATTAAATGGTCTAGGTGCATATTACACAGCCCGTTAAAATAATATAATTGGAAATTCTAATCGGTATCACCGATATCGGTCAGTCACTATAAAATGTCTTTATCGTTTACATTTGACTAAGACATTATGACTATTTTTAACGTTATTTTAACGCGTGCGCCGCAAGTGCGTGCGCGGTTTTTCTGTTGTCTGATACTTGTACGCAAGATAGACGCACGTGTGCATTACGCAATCAATTTACGAATATGCCACGCTGTTATCGCGGTACCGTGCGTTTATAAATACATCGCAACCCAATCGATAAAAATAATACAATAATAAAATTGAGACCGCCTATATTATATTAATGTTATTTAATTTATTGGGTTACCTAATGTTAGACGGTAGACACCACCTCGCAGTTTAAAAATCACGCGTCTCTGTTAAAGGCAATATTAACGTAGAAAGAATTACCTAATTATTATTATTTCGTATTTTGTGATTGTAATAATTTTGTGGCAAATACGTTTCTTTTGTTTATAAAATTAAAAATGTCAAAACGATCAATCAGAGATTATTTCTCATCTAATAAAAAAACCACAATTGTAGATTCAACAGATTCCATTAACATAAATCAAGATATTGTAATTAACTCTTCGACTGAAGGTAAAATATATTTTGGATAATCTACTTAGAAATATTTAATTTTATTATTTAATGTTTTTATAATTTTTATTTTAGATAACCTACCAGAGAACCCAGTTACATTAGCTAGTTCATCGAAACAAGGTAAAGTAAATCGATTGTATAACACTAAATGGGAAGCAGATTATCCTTGGCTTTATTTTGATAATCAGAGATTTGGTGCTTTTTGTAAATTATGTGAAAAACATGTAATCAACGATTCAGCGTTATTTGCTAGCTCAAGAGGAGTTTTTGTTAAAACACCATTCCAAAACTATAAAAATGCTTTGGGAAAAGATGGAAAATTAAATAAACATAAATATTCTGCGTCACATATTCGTAGTGTAGAACTAGAAAAACTTGCTTTGGTAGCTTTAAAAAACCCTGTATATAATCAAATTTTAAATCAAAATTCTGAAGAATGTAAAATAAACCGCAAAAATTTATCATACCTTTTCCGATCTGTGTATTTTTTAGTGAAAGAAGAAATAGCTCATACAACTAAATATGAGCCATTAATTAAGCGATTAATTGTGAAAAGCAGCGATTCACTTCAAAATTGGATTAATGCAAATAGTGACCGCTCAACATACACGAGTAAAGCTACAGCTAGTGAGCTTTTATGTTGTGCTTCAGAAATATTAGATGCTAAGTTAGACAAAGAAATATACGGGAAAAAATTTTCTTTATTAGCCGATGAAAATACAAACATAAATAATAAATCTGAATTATCTATATGTGTTCGCTTCGTTAAAAATAATCAACCAGTTGAGAGATTTCTTAATATTGTTGCTTTATCTGACACTAAAGCTCAAACAATCATAGATGCAATAAGCAATGAGTTAACTAAGCATAATTTGTCCTATGATAATATTATAGCTTGTGGTTTTGATGGGGCATCAAACATGTCCGGAAATAAAGGTGGAGTTCGTAGATTTGTATCCGATAAAGCTGGAAGAGAAGTGCCATATATTCACTGTCGAGCCCACGTATTATCACTTGCATTAACTAGTATGCGCAACAAATTTCCCAAAATTAAGCGTGTGTTCCATGTATTGAAAGATATTTATAAACTGTTTCATCAGTCTCCTAAACGAGAAGAACTACTTCATAAAATACAAGTGATTTTAAATGATCCAATATTAAAAATACCTGAGGCTATTGAAATTCGGTGGTTAAGTCATTATAAAATAATTCATGCAACTAAACAGTCATATATTGCTATAACTACTACTTGTGAACACATTCATCAAGATGGCGCAGATTTAGCATCTTTGGCCGGTGGAATTTTACTAAGTCTCCGCGAAGAAAGTTTTATAGTACTTTTGTGTGGACTGGATGAAATATTAGGCGCAATCTCTAATTTAAGTTTAACACTGCAAGGTCCTACAATTTGTATTTCAGCTTTACTCACATTAATTATAAGTACTACATGTCACTTAAATAAAATTTTTGAAGGTTTAAAACAAGATGCAGTGAATAAAAGTACCATCATTAAAAATGCTACAGATATTTCAAGTAAACTTAATTCATTGAAAAAAGACGATTATTTCAAAGAAACAATAGCTTGCCTTTCACAGTTTTTGGAACAAACAATCAAAGAAATGAACCGTCGATTTAATGATACAGCTTTAACACTTATCGAAGGGTGTTCAATATTCAAAGATTACAAATCATTTTCAAATTCATCAGAAAAAATTATTGAACAGTTATGTGATTGTTTTTCTTTAAATGAAAATGAAAAAGATGGAGTATTATCAGATTATAAGTCTTTTATGTTTGTTGCTTCACAGAAAGTTAAAACAAACGGATATCCAATAACTGACCTTCTTGAAGCAAATATTGGTTATGAACATCTGAAAAAATTATCAGAATCCATTTTATGTATTCCAATAGGAACGCCTACCGTAGAAAGATCATTCAGTGCGATGAATAGAATTATGACAAACCTTCGCAACCGAATGGGACAAGATACTCTTCAATACTGTATGAAAATAAGTATAGAAGGTGATGAAGATCCGTCAATTGAATATGTCGAAGAGGTGATAGATTTATATGCAACAAAAAAAACTCGCCGCATACGCTTTAAATGATAATATTAATTATACATTTTTTAAATATTAAATAATTTCAATTGTTTTTATAAGCTTAAGTTCAATTATATCAATCAGGTAAATAAAGTAAAATTTGTTAATTTTTATTATATTAATTCCACATCTCAGTGCCCCCCCTGGAAAAAATGTCTGAATTCAACACTGGTCGCCGACCGCGCCTATGTCTCTCTCATCAACCACTATACCGCGGCAAGCAACGCCGCCGCGACACCCGTCCCCCCCATCCATCGATAGACAGGGGACGCGAACGGTCGCGACGACGCCCGCACGGAATACTACTCAACCGGTCAGGTCGAGTTGTTCTTTGAACACCGTACGCCCGAACGGACATATACGCATTACATCGTATTTACGCTCATTTTGTCAAAATTCATTCAGTCATTGTTTTTTTTTTTTTTGTTATTTTTTATATTGTTTCTGACACCTTGTTAAACCTGACGCGTCCTGTGCCATCGTACTTTATCGCATCGCCACCAATTAGTAATTTTTTTGTTTTTATGCGAGCAATAAAGGCCACCGTCCAGTACCGCCTTCATCGTTGTGTTTTTTTTTCTTTCTTTTCACATTCTGTGACCATTCACCTGCACTTCAATCCCGCGTCGAGTCGTACAGTGACGGACCTCGACAGAGGATAATCAAATTGTAACACCATTCTTGGGATAATGCATAATTATGAAAATAACTCTGGATATCCTGGGCAATAACAATTTGATTTCTACAATTACAATGATAAAATATTTAATAGTTAATTGATTTCTCCATACTCACAAGCCAACTCAGTAAAAAAGATAAAATATTTCTTGGGCCCTGTTCGTTTGTCAATCATGACTGTAAACCAAATACGGTGTGGATCTCAAGAAACAAACTAGAATCTTGTGTGGAAACTGTTAGAGACATTAACAAAGATGAAGAAATAACAGTGTATTATTCACCAAATTATTTTGGAGTCGACAACGAAGAGTGCAAATGTAGAACATGTGAAAAGACACATTTCGGATTTTTCAAACCAAAAGGTTTTTATAGTGCATGCATAATATATGTTGAATATATATTTAATTAGATTATTTTTTTATAGCATGTTCTAATGATGCTGGAACTGCCACAATGACCTATACCAAAAAGCCTTCCGTTGAACCTGCTCAAATTGTGAATGGTAATGTTTAATTGTTTTCTTGTGAACCTACAACATGTATGGTAAATTTAACAATTTGTTTATAGTGCCCATAGGTGAAACAAATAGTGAAAGCGATGCTGGATCTGCCTCAATGACCAATAGCAACCAGCCTTCCGTTGAACCTGCTGAAATTGTGAATGGTAATGTTTAATATTATATTTTCTTGTGAACCTACAACATGTATGGTAATAAACAAATTGTGAGTGATTTTTATTACTTACATCCCATAAATTGGGGTAATTCGGTTGTAGTAAGTTTTGGCATTTTCACAGGTTTATTTGAAACTGGATTTGGTGAGTTTCTTTTAACACAATTTTTAGTTTCCTTGAATGCATTGCATTTGGCAATTTCTTGATTTTTAGCTGGTGCTACTGAAACAAGTGAGGATACTGGCATACCTTGAGATACTTGACTAATAGTAAAAACTGGAGGCTGCTTATTTGGAGAGTTTCTGTTAACACCAGCTAAAATCAAGAAATTGCCAAATGCAATATAAATAAATCTGTGAAAATGCCAAAACTTACTACAACCGAATTACCCCAATTTGTGGGATATAAGTAATAAAAATCACTCACAATTTGATTTAATTAAAATAGACACTATATTATAAAAATATGTATGTACAAATATCGAAACACAGAAAAATAACCAAAATCGAATAAAAACTGTCTCCTGCATACAATTTTATTCTTATAGGTTTATGGTTAAAGAAACAAGTCTAAATCATCTACATCATTACAAAACATTATTTAGCCAATTCGCCGTAGATATGATGGCAAAAATGATTTCTGAAAGACTACACTTTATTCGTAACCATATCAAAAACAACTACGTGCGGGTGATTATGTTCACCTCCGAGATGCTGTTAACAATGATGCAAATATTAATGCTAATAACGTGGAGCAACTTCCCTCCTCTTTTACTGGCTCCCCACGTTACATGCATGAAAAAAATCAGGATGCCATGACTTATGTTCGTAAATTTGTCCGTCCAGATTTATTTATTACTTTCACATGCAACCCGGAATAGCCGGAAATAAAAAATGAATTATTTCAAGACCAAAAGTCGTTTGATAGACACGATATAATCTCTAGAGTTTTTCATCTCAAACTAAAAAAGTTTATGCATGTATTAAAGAATAAATATATTTTCGGCGATTAAAATTGTTATGTTTACAGTGTTGAATGGCAAAAACGAGATTTGCCACACTGTCACATTCTTTTGTGGTTACAAACGAAAATTCAGCCAGATGAAATTGATAAAATTATTTCTGCCGAGATATCAAACAAAGACAGAGATCCTATACTTAATGAAATAGTATGCAAGAATATGATTCATGGCCCATGCGGCAAGTTAAATATTAGATCGCCATGTATGAATAATGGAAAATGTAGTAAGAAATACCCTCACAAATTGGTCAAGGATACTCAAACTGGAGATGATGGTTATCCGACTTACCGACGGAGATCATCAGATGATGGAGGTTATACTGCAATATTAAAAGTTCGTGGTCAAACAGAAATCGTGGTTGACAACCGATGGGTTAGCCGCTATTGTAGATAACAAATAATCAAAGTTATAGGCTATAGCTATATGTAACAGAGACCATACAAAAAAAAGACCAATAGGAAAACCACGAACAAGGTGGAAAGATGCGATAGAAAAAGATATCAAGATGTTGGGAAGAAATATGACTGTTGACCTGGCATTGGACAGGGAAAGATAGAGAAAAATGCTTGTGGCAGCTCAGGTCCTACAGGGACCGTTAAGCTAAGGAAGAAAGAAGAAAATAATCTATAATTTATCAAAAATGTAAAATATTAATATTTGATTCTACTAAAGTCTTTTAGTATTAATCAATATATATATTTGATACCACTGTACAGGTCCTAAAGGCATGTTTATTTAAAAAAAAAACCGTTTTTAACTTATTTTGGATTTTAAAAAAAAAGTTAAGTCAATGGGATATGTACTGAAGAAAATGATTGGTATTGAATGATTAATGTCAAATTTATTGAGTTTTAAGATATTTTTCAGTTATTATTATTATTTTGGTTAAGTTAATTATACATTAGAATTTTCACATTTCTATAATTTATTAATCAAATAATTTAGATTTTAAATTTTATACCTGCCTAATATCTGTATATTTTTAAAATATTATTATGTGCTTTATAATATTTCTTAATATTTCATAGTCTTAATGTTCGTATTGTACCTACCTGAATAATAAATATAGGTACAAGATATATTTTATTCTGTTTTGATAATAATTTTAAAATTTTAAATATAAAATAAATAAATAAATAAATGATAAATATGATGCAATTGGAAATTGGAAATTCAAGCATATGCAGCTTTATATAAATTTATGTTACAATTTTTGAACTACTAAAAGTGAATGCCACCCAATAAAAATTAAAAAAAGTATAGTGAGTAATAGATGTTACCTAGTTGTCTAATATATAAAATGCTTGTGTCACAGAGTTTGTTAACATACTCCTCCCAAACGGCTTAACCGATTTTAATGAATTTTTGTATATACATTCGGCAGGGCTGCGAATAGGTTTTTATCTATTTTTTATACTCCTAAGTGCTATAAGAAGGGACAAGATGGGTATTGCATAAATATTAAACAACAAGATCCCGAAACAGGTGCCAAAAAAAACAAGAATATTAGTTCGAAGGATTATTATGTATATCGGTTGATGATTAGACGCGATCAGGACAACGTTATCTTTAGTCACTAAAGTCAAATAGGTTTGATTTAAGTCTGATTTTCGATTATAATATGAGATGGCATTTTCATATCTTAAACATTACAACGCGATTAAGAACAATGATGTTTAAGCTCTGGGTTTTTTTTTAGTGTGTAGTAAGACACATTTTGTGCAATGAGAAAAATAATTGTTCAGTGCATTAAAAACTCCTCGATGTTATTTTATATTTATTATATGTATATGATAATATAATTGTGTAAACTTCAAAAGAAAAAAAAAATTAAGTTACCTATTTAATTTTTTAATTTAATTTAAAATAAACATATCATTAATTATAATATTATACCTTTTACTTATATTTACAAATAATAATATTGCATTGATAATGTATAAATAACATTTATTTAAATTTATTCGGTAATTCATGGGTATTATGTGTATGTACGAGTACTTTAATTCCTTACTACAATCTAGGAGTGGGAATACATTTTATGCAGTCAGAAAAAAATCATTAAAAAAAACCCTGTATAAACTTTACAGTATAAAAATTTATAACACTAAAGATACCATGAGAATTATATACATATTTCTTTATCAATCGATTTGTCAATATGGAATAATAGTTTGGGGGGGGGTGCTAATGATAATACACTAAGATCACTAATTACACAGCTAAATAAAGCCATTCGTATCTGTCTAAGTAAAAATAATAAAATTGGATCTTCAAATAGAAATTATATAAAATTTGATTTACTACCAGTCGTCAATCAACTATATAAAAAATTTACTA